CACAGTGCATGCTAAGCATTCCTGCACGTCATCTAAACAGTAACAGGAAACGATCGGGTTCAGCATCAGGCTTTTGAGGTGGACCTCCAAAATCCCGCCTGCAGAGCATGCTTGCGCTTGATGAACAGTAGGGATTGAAGGGAGGAAGCAGCACGCGGACTGTCGGTAAAGACGCGGAAAGCAAAACCTACGTGCTTGTCTTCTAACAAGCCGAAAACACAACACGAACACCGAAACACCTAGAGCCTGCTAAAGCAACACCTGAATTCTAACAAATTTGGGGGTTGCAGGTGAGATGTCGAAAATTGGATTCTTCACCCCGCCCTGCAGAAAATGCCGAACGGATTCCCACACAAACTCCTCAAAGACGAATTATCATTTATGATATAGTAAAACAAAATAGAACTATAGAGTTGTATTATTACCGTGGAGGCGATTATGGATGTGCAGTCCGCAGGGTGGGGACTGGCGCCAACCGCCAGGGCAAGGCTTGACACCGCCTCCAGCGCAACCCCGACGCTCACATCTCCGATGATCTATTTCAACAAATTTTCCCCCTTCCTTGGAAGGATCATATGTGCTTTGGAGTGCTTTAGCTGTCCCACTTACCCACTTACTCCGCTGGACCTCGAGAATGGCTGGTCTCAAGTTCCTGCCGTTGGTCACCGCCGCCATCTTGTTGCTGGGCAGCAACTCGGCAAATGCGGAAGGCAATCAAGCCACGAGCAGTGAATCTTTTGAAACCCCATTTATACACCTATACTATAAAGAAATTGAAGCGAAACCACGTTCAAATCGCTCTCGGTTGCTCTTACGTGTGCGTATGCAGACNACTATAAAGAAATTGAAGCGAAACCACGTTCAAATCGCTCTCGGTTGCTCTTACGTGTGCGTATGCAGACGCGGCAAAGCGGGTGGACTGCTCGGCGTCAATGAACGCGGCCCGCAATCGTGTCGGCTTCGCCGAACTAACGGTGGGAAAGGAAGAAGGCGAAAAACTCCCAATAGATGCAGCTTCCTCCGTCAGAGATGGAACCGTAGACGCGTACGTGGGGTCAGTGTGCACGGCACTGAAAGGAGTAAGTCGTGGCGCTACAACCCTGAATGGCCGAACTTCTTGATTGGGTTCTCACTCCACGTCTTACACGAGTATACACACATGTATACGGCCACTTAAATACACGTATTCCTATGGCCTGCCATGTATTCTGTGTGCTGCGTCCTCCACAAAACCAACAGGATGAAGTGTCTGCTCAAGGATCAGCCACACTGGCTGGCACCTACGCTTACGCGGTTCAAGAAGGAGCTAGTGCTGACTGCGAAGCCGCAGTGGAACACTGGAAGGCAGCTTTCTCCAACTTCAACGGCCTCCCTCCGCAANGCCTCCCTCCGCAATACACAGAAGACACAGAGCCGTATGACAACCCACAAAATATTTCCTTCATTTCCCTCTTCAACCCGAGTGAAAATCCCAAAGTGGACTGCGCATACTTCACCTGCCCAGCAAAAAAGGCCGGCAAGCAGCAGCAAGACGTTGTTCCCCCCTTAAAGGAACCGGAAGAAGTGGAAGAGGATGATCCCGAAAGTAGTAACGATGTGGAGAGTCCAAATCCGGGCGGCGGGAGTGAGAGCATCACAGACAAAGAGGTGAAAGCTCTTGTTTGCGTCACCACCCCAGACGCCTTGAAGAAAGAATCCGCCCCATACACGTAAGTTGAACTCCGCTGTTGAACTCGTCAGTCCTTTACGGCTTCGTGTAAGCCCAAAGATGAAATGCTCGAGAGTGTGATGTGTTTTCAGGCAAGCCCAGTGGGATCAGATCACCGCTGGCCTCAACAAAAACGCTGCACCAGCATTGCCTACGTTCCTTGGCTTTGCTGCCACAGCAGCTGGCATTCTTTTCCTCTGAGCTCCCTGTGGATTTCATTCCACTCTGGAGTTGTATAGTTCGCTACACTAAACGTCAGTTTAGTGAATTGCAAGCAATCGTTAGATATAACGTCTGACAAACGCTTGAAGGCCTCGCAGCTAAAGGGCTTGGGGTCCGAAAACTTGATGAGCCATGCGGGTGCAGGTTGTGAGGGAACCTGGGACTCTTTGCAATACCGCTGAGCAA